CTTGGGATTTTCCAGGCAAGGATACTGGAGTGTGTAGCCATTTTCTTCTCCAGGGGTCTTCCCAACCAGGAACTGAACCTACCTCTCTTGCATCTCCTTCACTGGCCGCGGATTGTTTACCCCTTTGCCACCTGGGAAGCCCTCGACATGGGGCCTGTTGTCCAAAATTCAGAGACGTAGGATCTAGTTTGTGCAGAGGTGACGACAGCCATGTTTGCACCACCTGTTAATGATACCCCGTGGCAGGAAGAACATCATGCTGAGGGACGCACATGTCCATTCTAATTATTCCTGTAGACTTTCTGGCACAGAAGCTGGTTCTCAGCCTATGATGAGAAGACCCCTCAGTGCAGATAGGAGGTGCTTATTATGCTGATGGGGTTCTGGATTGTTACTGGAAATTTTTAAAGGGAGATGTTAGCGATGCCCCTGGGATGAGGAGGTGAGAAGGTTAAAGGCAGGAATAAACATTCCTGTGACTGCATGGGGCTGGCTGGGGCTCCAAGTTTAAAGGAAGAAAATAAATTTCATTTCTTGCAAATTCTATTTTGAAGAGTATTAATTTTTTTTACAGTAAATTTAACTGAGAAATATAGTAAAATTATAGAGGAATGGTATTCCTTGCTCATTTACTAACCTTAAATAAGAAAATCACCTTAAAATAGAGTATTTTATGAAAAGGTAGTTTAGGAAATGTCAAAAAGAATACAATATAGAATAGAAAAGTCACAAAAAAACTTCTAATATGAAACCTATATATTTAGCCAGTAAAATAATAAAGAGAAGAAAAAAATAAGTCTTATAGGAATATAACAACATGGCCTGAGGACAATACTAATTGCAAGAAATGTTATGTGTGTGTGAGTATCTTGTTTTAATACTTCTGAACAACTAGAAATTGGTTTTCTAAGATAATATAGATTTAAATTGATTTGAGAAGGCAATTAATCTGAATAGACCAATACAAATGGAAGGAATTTTTAAAAGGTTGAAAAACATCTAAAAATCTAGTGGGTTGAATCATGGTCCATTCCTCATCCTTGAAAAATGAGAATGTGATCTTGTTTGGAAGAAGGGTCTTTAAAGATGGAAAGTAGTTAAGGATCTTGATATGGGATCACCCTGGATTATCTGGGTTGTCCCTAAAGCCAATGGCAGGCTTCCTTCTAAGAAGTACACAGAAGACTTACAGACCCAAGAGAAAGAGGTCACATGACCACAGAGGCAGAAATTGGAGCAATGTGGCCAAGGGGAGCTGGAGGACATAAAGGAAGAGAATTTTCCCTAAAGACTTTGGAGGAAGTAGAGCCCTGACAACACCATCTGGCCTTGAGAATGTGAGAGAATAAATTTCTGTCGCTTTAGACAACTCAGCTTGTGCTAAGATTGTACTATAATAATACCCCAAACTCTTCTTAGAATATCAATAGATGGATATTTGTTTATTGTGATCAACAGTATCTATCTGTCAGTGCAAAGGAGTGCATCTTAAGAGGGATAGAGCAGGGTGTGGGGTTTTATTGCCAAATCTTACTCAGCCATTTACTATCCGTCGTTTGTTACTAAATAAACCTCAGTTTCTGGAATGTGCGTAACAAAACCTTGTATAAATTAGACCTGATATTATTATACAGGTACATAATGTATACACAGAGGCACAAGTATGGGTTAGACAGAATGTATAAAGGTGGTTACTACAATGCCTGATACACAATAAGCCTATATAAAGTAGCAGCTCTCACACACACACAAATACACACAGAGTTATGGGCCCTGGGCCATGCTGCCTGGTGTCTGGCAGCTTCTTCTTTCATCAAATAGTTCAGTAAGGCAGACACTACTGTAACAGAAACAGAGCTAACTGGTCAACTGAAAAGACTACACCAAAGTGATTTTTTTGTTGTTGTTGTTCTATGACTCAAAGAGAAATAATATCAAAAAAAAGAAGAGTAAGATTACAAAACTACTCAGAAAGCTGGAGGGCCTTTGTATTAGCCACAAATAAAAACACAGTTGCCCAAATACTGTCTCTAAATGCTGGGAAGACCCACGGCATAGGGGCCACGCCCACACTCTGGCTGCCCCTGGCTTGGTGTCATACAGGAAGGTAAGCTTTTCAAATTCTTGGTGCATGCACTGGAGCGGTACTTTCCTCTGCGGTGTAGGCAATAAAGGGAAATATAACATTTGTGATAAAGTGTGGGCACATCAGTTGAACACACATTAGTACCTATATCCAGGAACACTGAGATATCTCATACATTCACACATGGATCTCTGTTTTTGCCTTCCTGGAGTCATTCACTCACTTGAACCAGCTGCATTTCTTTCTAGCCTCACAACATTTGCACTTGCCAGTTTTCCCTGCCTGAAACAGTCCCCCTCGCCTCACAGGTGACACGCCTGATCTCTTGTCATTCTTGCCTGATCAACTGATAGCTTAACTTCAAGAGCCTTCTCCCAAAACTCATATTCAAAGTAGCTCTTTCTCAGTGATTTCCATCTCTTGTTCTTTCTTTTGACTCGTAGTGCAGCTTAATTCCTTTTATTTATTGTGTGATTCCTTGTTAGAGTTTGCTGCCCTCACAAGGAGGTTCACCACAGGGAACAGTGATGGAATCCGGCATTTCCACCTACATGGAACCTTCATGCTTGGTGCTTATAAGACAACTGAGGTTGCCACTGGAAGTCCATGGAGTTATTCTTTTAGTTTTTGAAAACATTGAATAGAAATAACAAAACTCAGATTTTATTAAACATTTGTTATACTGCCTCTCAGGAATAGCTCATGATAAAGCAACACAGACTGAAAAAAAAAGAACACAGAATGACTCGTTGTTGGTTCTCATGATTTGCAATAATTATAATCTACAAAGTTCTCTCCAAGGCTGAATTAGTGAACACGGAGCCACTGCTTCTGGGGAATTATGCAGGGTTAGGGTCCTAAAAACCTCTGGGCACAATTTTGTCAGCTGGTCAATATATAATGTTATTGGATGTGTGCTTCTATTTAAACAAACCTTGAGAAGAAAGTGAAAGTGTTAGTCGCTCAGTCCTGCCCGACTCTGCAACCCCATGGACTGTGGCCTGCCAGGCTCCTCCGTCCATGAAACTTTCCAGGAAGAATACTGGAGTGGGCTGCCATTTCCTTCTCTAGGGGAACTTCCCGACCCAGGGATGGAGCCCATGTCTCCTGCATTACAGGCAGCTCCTTTACCATCTAAGCCACCAGGAAAGCACAAGAGAAGCCTTATTTGATACAGATTTTTTATTCATTAACATTTAGCTAAACAGCAGCATCCCTCACGATGGACTGAAGCTGACCTTACATGCTTGTTTTCTCCATAAAGCACGTCACAGTCGTCCTGCAGTCAGGAGCACTAGATAGCACTTTGGTGTCACTGTGGACCATGTTAAGCCGCACAATCATCAACAAAAAGCACACAAATGTGAAAAACATGTCATAAAATAGACCGTGAGAAGGACGCTTGTTTACTGTGTGAGAGCTGGGACAAGAAAGCAGAGGCTTGCTGTACTTGACTTCAGAGGGGAATGTGCACGTGGATGGACTCAGAGGCCCTTCAGTGCCTTCCACACGCCCTTGAATAACCATGAGAGAGCACCACGAGTACTGGGTTACAAATATACTTCAGCTAGTAGGTGAATTCACAAATATAGAATCTGTGAATAATGAGGCTCAAATATATTTCCTTTTGGCTAAAAATGCATCATCTTAGCATGACAATAGTGTTTACTTTTTTGCTGACAAAACCACTGATAGTAGATAACATGGGAATTTCTGGAGTTTTAATGTCCAGTCAATGAGTTTGGGGGCATGTTCCACATTGGAAAAAATTTGCCACAACCAGGCTTGTAGAAGAGAACTGATACTTGCAGTCTGGACTGAGGTGTAACGGTCCTTTGGTCCTGGTTAATCTCATCCTACTGTAACCCATTTCTTCAATAGAAATGGATTTGAAAAATATTCCACCAGACACTTCAAGACTAATTTTAGAAAACTTAATGATTTAAAGAATTGAACATTATGCAGCATAGTGTCAGAGGGATAAAGAGGGCTTGGGCCTCTTTAAAATGTAAAACATAAAAGATTTACATTTTTACTTCAATTTATCATCAAATGGCTTTGTGATCATGGGCAAATTCTAAGCTCTGTGAAATTGCAGATTTATTTATTTCTAAAATTGGGATAATACTGTTACTTCCTTCAAAAGATGTTTTAATTATCAAAGAGATCATGAAATCACTCCGTATGTAATAAAATAAAACATAAATACGCATATTCCTATATATACTTATGAGTTTGTGTGTGTGTGTATACTCAGTCACGTACAACTCTTCGTGACCCTATGGACTCTATCTAGCCCGCCAGACTCCTCTGTCTATAGGATTCTCCAGGCAAGAATACTGGAGCGGGTTGTTGTTTCTTTCTCCAGGGGATATTCCCCACCCAGGGTTTGGACCTGCATCTCATGCATTGTCAGGTGGGTTCTTTTCCACTGAGCTGTCTGGGAAGCCCACTTATGAGTGTCTGTCAGTATAAAATGTAGTGCTGATTCATCTGCTATCTCCTACCTCAAAGTGGTCTCCTTTCTCCTATTCTTGGTTCCCTTAAAATATGTGCATATATGATATCTATTTTAATGAATTATACATATTTATGCATTAGATACCTAAGACAGATATTTATTTGTTATATATATATATATATATATATATATATATATATATATATATATATATCTACATATCCTCCGTCTATGTATGAGATACTAACGGCCGTTGGGAAGTAAGGTCTGGTTGCGGTGTGGGTGGGGGCTGGTGCAGCATGCAGGCATATGGGACGAGAGGATCTCGCGTGGGAGGACAGGGAGGAAGTGGGCTGGGTGTGACTTTAGCATGAGATGTTGGTGTCTTCTTGCTTCTCGTGAAGGGATGCAGGATCTCAAGCTTAAAGTTTACTGCGTTTTTAGCTGAATCCGATGCACAGCGCGCTGTCAGAGGTGGCCCAAGTTTCACCCCCGTGTTCCGCCGGGGAGAGCACTAAGGTCCCCGGTGGCAGGTGGGGCCACGCTTGCAGAGCAGGACCTTCCCACCACGTGTTCTCTGCACAGGTGGCCCCAGAGAAGAAGGGGCTCTGCATGCACTTCAAATACACCCTGAGGAGGCCCCCTGTGCTTGCTTTCTTGGTGGTTCTGAAGCAGATGGAGGTGGGGGGAGACTGAAACCAGAGACATGGGCTCTGCAGGCTCAGGTCAGCCCTGAAAGAGAAAATCTTGTCGCCACCAGCATCTCATGCCCCCAGCTCAAGAGGAGGCCTCTAAAGAGGAGAAAGGATGAGACAGGGGCTCAAAGAGAGACTGAAGCGGAAAATGCAACCAGAAGCCTGTCTGTACCGCAGACACGGCTGGCCCGGCCTCACTGAGGTCATACAGTCCTTCCTCCTACTCTGGTCGGGCAAAAAATGGCCTCAGCTTTGTCTTCCAGAAGCAGGCCCTGCCCTCGTGCGGTGCCCAGTCCTGGGACCCAGAGCCCCTGAGAGATTCTCAGGTTGTCACCCTCTCTTGCCCCTCATGGGTGGTCAACAGGTCCTATGGAAAGAACACAGATTTTAGTCCATCTGTAGCTAAACAACGAAGAAAAGCACTGAAGCTTCTGATCAACAGTTGGTACAGTTGTTAAATTGACTTAATAGAGGCTGAACTACGGTAATATCTGTGGGATGAAGATAAGGATAAAGATCTGAGTGATTTAAACAAAATAGAACTAACTAGGCTTAGTTAGGAGATGGTGTGAGAGAATGCATTATATTTTACCTACTTAGTCTGATGAGCCTGTAGGGCCTCCTAAGAGGAGGAATTCAGTAGAAAACTTGAACCATAGGTTGAGATTTCAAAAGCAGTCTGTGCTCTGATATGGGTTTCCCAGGTGGCACTAGTGGTAAAGAACCCGCCTGCCAGTGCAGGAGACAGAAGAGATGTGGGTGCTATCCCTGAGTCATGAAGATCCTTCGGAGAAGGAAATGGCAACCCACTCCAGTATTCTTGCCTGGGGAATCCCATGGACAAAGGAGCCTGGTGGGCTACCGTGTGTGGTGTCACAAAGAGTTGGACATGACTGGATTGACTTAGGATCCACTCCTGCTCTGACATAGACTTTATTTTTTTTAAATAATTTCACATTGAACACTGGTTGTTTATTTTGTTTGCAAGGTCTGTTGGATCTTAGTTACCCATTCAAGGGTTGAACCTGTACCCTAAGCAATGACATCACTGAGTCCTAACCACTGGACCACCAGGGCATTCTTTAATACAGATTTTAGAGGCGACAGCAAATTCACATTAACTGAAAGCATAAGAGGGAAAAAAGAGACTGAAGAGAAGAGCATTGCTAGGGAGGGGTACTTACCTTCTGTGTTATACAGTAGATGTGACTGCCTCCCCCACATGGTGTCCTGACAGCTGGGAATGGAATCTTTTTGAATTGTCTATGTCTCAATACACATTTTAATAATAATCTGCTCAATTTGTTTACTCATTTACTCAAAAATATATTTATTGCGTGCCTAAGATGTACCAGATCCTGATTCTGTCTCTAGAAGCATAGCAGTGAAATTGCATTTTAGAAGAAACTAATTTATGAAAGAATGAGTAAATGAATGAATGAATGAATTGTGCATGGAGTTTTTAGATTATATTAATTAAATAAAAGAATCCCACTTTGGTAGGACCACCCCAGGGTGCTGCTGGGTCACTGGAAAAAGCTGTTGACCAGTAACTGCATGAAAGTTTCCCTCGAAAGTCACAGTGCCAGAGTCTAACTTTCAGGTCACAGCTGCAGTGGAGAGAAAAGTGACCAAGTTCATGAGCTGCAGTTGGGCGTATTCTCCTAGGGTTGCTTCTGGACCTTTCTACTCAAGTCTGCACTGATTATGCAGCTCTCCGAAGGAAAACACAATCTGTGTTCAGTCTTTGCTTGCTCTTTCCTCTGTCTGAAGAGCCTTTCAACCTTTGCTTTATTGTTTTCTTTCATAATCTTTTTATGTTCAGCCCCTCAGCTCAGTTTGCAGATGTGGCTGGAATCTGCTGCTCTCACACTGGCTGTAGTAGTCGCCAAGCATACCAGCTACAAGTTTCCAAGGGCGTCTGCTTGGTGGGGGGGCGGGGTTGGTACTGGTCATAGGTAAAGATAGGATAGAGGCCAAGTCGTGTGCAGTCAGCACACATTGCTGACCTGGCCCCATGAGAAGGTTTGTAAAGGTTGGTCCTGGGGGATCTAAGGAACAAAAAAGTCCATGTTCCACTGCCTCCATCCCTTTCATTTGTCATGGGGGGATCTTGGCTCTGCCAGCCTCCCTCCCTCTTGTCAAATGCCCTCCTCCACAAAGACCCTCTGTGTGGAAAAGTGGCTCATTTGCTGTCTTCTAGTTAGGTCTATGCTTGGAGGGACTGGCAGACTTGTGGAGAGCAGGTTTGCTCCATGCTTCAGAGCTCCAGCTTTCCTCTTCTGATGGACTGCTTCCCAGATTCTGGGCTCACTTTGTGACCCCCACAACTCTATTAGTCAACCCCTTGCAATAAATACTTAAATGTAAATAACCCAATGGTTCTGTTTCTCAAGTTGAACCTTGACTTATATGAAAGCCAAGCTCAAGCATATCTGCCTTACTAATCAATGAACAGATAATCTTATCTATTATAAAAAAGATTTTCAGAAAGAATCACAAAACAAAATAACAAATCTTACTTGATGCTGTATAAAAAGACACATGTAAAACAAAAATAATTGAGGAAGGTTGAAATTAAATCAATAGACATAGCATCATGGCACACGCAAGACTTAAGTAAGCAGTGATCTTAATGTCAGACAAGATGGAATTCACTCCATAAACATAAAATGACCTAAAGATACTATTTTATAATGCTGAACTCCACAGTGGATAAATACTAGAATCTAAATACTTGAGGGCAGGAATTTTAGTTACTTTCGTTTATTGCTATATCCAAGGTCAAGGCCTGACAGTTTGTAGGTTTCAATAAATACTTTATGAATAATGATATGAAATGTTGTGAGAATTCATGCACAAAATAACATATCAGTGACATTTTAAAGAAGAAATTATGAGATACATGCTGAAATAGAAACATAATAGGAGTAAAATATATTAACTCCTGTCTCTGCTTTATCTCTCTCCAGCCATTAATCAAGTGAATAAAAAATAAGTAAGACTATTTCCTTTGCCTGGGTCTCCTAGGAAAAAACATAGTAAAGCATGGATTAAAATGCTGACATAGTCTCAGGCCCAAGGCTGTGAAACTGAGGAAAAAAGAAGGGAGTCAAAGGGAGGTTTGGGGAGATACAACAGGCCATGGTTCAGGGCCGGCCTCTCAGGGGTTTCAGCAATTGTGTTCTTTCAGTGTAGGATGTTTCTGGGGTAGATTTTTCAAGGAGAAATTACACCTCAGAAAGTTCCGGCAAGGTGAGAAAAGAGAGGAATCTCTCTGCCAGACTTCAAGTGGTCAGAATTCACCTACAGGAGCCCAGTCACCTGGCTTTCCAGGTTACATCATCTAGGGAGTCAGGGGCCACCTGCAGAACCTTTCGTCCTGTGCACTTCACTCCGTCAAGGCTACTGCCTGTCATACATTCACTGCGTTTCACCCCTTCATTGCACTCCCATCAGCTCTGTTTGTGAGGACGAGAACTAATCTGAACAGAGCACTGACAAGAGAGAAAGGAGGCGGTCGAGGGAACTGAAAAAACCCACTGGTTTATGCCCAGTATGACTACAGAAGACATCACAGACAGAGTGCATTTGATTCCTGTAGATCAGTCTCTGCTCCCTTATGGAGCTTTTCCAGCATTCATGACAAGTAGTCATATATTAGGTCAAAATAAAACTCAGTGCATTTCAAAGTGAAAAATAGTAAAAGACAACATCTTTAACTACAATGCATTAAAGTTATTAAAATAATAACTAGGAACATATCTTTAAATTTGAAAAATCTCTTCAACATATTTCTCTTTTTATTTTTTAAATTTTAATTGGTGGATAATTACTTTACAAAACTGTGATGGTTTTTCCCATACATCAGCATGAATTGGCCATGGGTATACATATATTTGGGCATGAGTTTGAGTAAACTCCGGGAGTTGGTGATGGACAGGGAGGCCTGGCGTGCTGCGATTCATGAGGTCGCAAAGAGTCGGACACGACTGAGTGACTGAACTGAACTGAACTGAACTGATACATATATTTTTCCTCCCTCCTGAGCCCTCCTGCCCACCCTTTCCCTCCAGGTTGTTATAGAGCAACAACTTCAATGTATTTCTGATGAAAATAATTAAAGATAGATCAATGATCTATCATTGATCTAAATATATGATCAAACATTTATATACAAAAAATGAAAAAGAATTTAAAAAGTAAAAGCACAAACATTCTGGAGGTGGGAGGGGGGACCGGGATGGGGAATACATGTAAATCCATGGCTAATTCATTTCAATGTATGACAAGAACCACTGCAATGATGTAAAGTAATTAGCCTCCAACTAATAAAAATAAATGGGGAAAAAAAATAAAAATAAAAGAATAAAAGAAGCACAGGGACATGACATCATAGCTTTGTACAGGAAAATGGGTTTCCCCAGTTGGCTCAACTGGTAAAGAACCCACCTGCCAATGCAGAAGGCGCAAGAGAAGTGAGTTCGATCCCTGGGTATGGAAGATCCCCTGAAGAAGGAACTTGCAATATACTCCAGTATTCTTGCCTGGAAAATTCCATGGACAGAGGAGCTTGGTGGGCTATAGTCCATGGGGTTGCAAAGAGTCAGATATGACTGAGAGCGCACATACATGCATTCAGAAAGACCATTGTAATACAGCTCACAATTAAAAAGTCACATGGGAAGATAATAATAAAGTTGACTAAATAAAAAATAAGCTACAAAAAACCCTTGTGCATAAAAATAATCATATAAGCAAAATCATAAGCAAGAAAACTGTATTTATAGTTCCTATCACAAAAAGGACTGAGATCCGTCTTACCTAAAGAATTCCAGAAAATTTTTAATGAAATGGCAAACAAAACAATGGAAACCTGAGTGAAGAATAGATGAATGCACAAGAGAAGAAATGCAAATGGCTCTTACCCATAGGAAAAGATGCTCATCTTCTCTCACAGTAGGAAACGAGTGATAAAATAAAACA